GCAAACACATGAGAAGTGGGATATATTTTAATGTAGGTGTATCTTCATACCTAAAACGTTTGGAATTACACATTGTTTTGGGAAGTTTTTGGGCTGCTTTCTTGACTTGTTTCGAGCAGTTTTTTGGGCTGCAGTTCTGCCCTATTTAGGAGAGATTTTGATGGCTTTTTGGTCTGCGGTTTTATCCTGGTTTTGGGTGGTTTGGCTGCAGGTTTTAGGGTGGTTTTTTGGCTACGGTTTGGCATGATTTCAGTGTTTTCTGGGGCTGCGATTTGGCCTAGTTTGGTGAGGTTTGGATGTAGGTTCTTGGCTTGGTTTTGGACTGAATTGGTTGCAATTTTTGGGCCTGATTTTGGTGGCCTTTTGGGCTGCGGTTTGTTTTGGTTGTGGGTGGTTCAGCTACAGGTTTTGGGCCTAATTTTGGGACTGACTTATGACTGATTTGAGCACGTTTTTGGGGCATTTTCGTGGCTCGATAGGCTGCACTTTTGGAGCTACCTTTGGGAGGGCTTTTGGTTCGTTTGATTTAAGGTCCGAACAAATGTTCTTTAGGAGAGTTTGAAATATGTTTTGAGGGTTTGTGCTTACTGTTTTAGAAGGTGAAAATGCCACTTTTGGAGGGTTAAAATGTTATTTCATTTAGGAAAGGTGGGGAATCACAAAGATTTGGATTTACGAGAGTTTAGGGAGCTTCTAGGATCATGATTTTTGGGGAATTTCAAATGAGCCTTTCAAATGCACATCATTGGATGTGGGGATTTATTTTAGATTCGGATTTGAATGTGGCTTTGAGGGTAGACCCATACTTTACTATTTTTGTATTTCAAATGGATCAATCCCTCCTCTTTCTCACCCCTTTTTTCTTCTTTTCTTTTCTTGCTTCTTGGTCGTCTTTATACACTTATGTACAAAGCATAAGTGCGCACAAATAGTCTTTTGCTACATGTAGACCATCAAGCAAGGCTGTAAGTAGATCGGCTTCGGAGTTCAAGGACAATGATGAAAAAGACATCTAGGCATGTGTGAGAGGTTCTAGTGCAATCCTAACTCAGTGACTTTGAGAGAATGAGGGATTAACATTACCGCATCTCTAACACTTAGTAAAGAGTTACCACTTGCTTTTACAGACAATGAGATGTTTCAGCCTACCAATATGACTGACTCATTAACTTGCTAAAGTATAAAATTCCTTTAAGTGATATATATGTGTACACACATAATAAAAAAAAAGATCTTTCAAATACATGACAAATCAAAATTTCTTTTAAAAAATGAAATCATTCAAATATATTTTCTGAAAATTTCACGAGTCAGTTATATGAACTAGGTTAACGATTACCCTTTTCTATGACTGTTAGGCCGGTGATCTTTTACGAAAATTTCACGAGTCAGTTATATGAACTAGGTTAAGGATTACCCTTTTCTGTGACTGTTAGGTCGGTGATCTTTTAGTGTCGAATCACACATGCATGATGTTGACTATTTTTTTAGGGCCCCAGGGTCTTGATTTTGACCCAATGTCCTGATTATGAGTCCACCCCGTCCCGAGAACTTACGGTTTTCTTTGGTGTCCTGTGCATTTCCTATGGTTTTCTTTGAGTTTTCATACCTCACCGCATTTTTTACCGCTTTCCTTTACTGCACCTCTCACTGTTTCCTTTATGTATTATACCCTTAGAATAGGAGGTCGGTAGTATGGTTTTATAGAAGGTACCCAGCAGCAGATCACCGACTCAACAATTGCATGTAAATTTAAACATAAACTAAACCTGAAATTGCTACGACGTGGAGCTTGAAGCAAGTCTTCGTGGGCAGCAAGACTGAGCAGCAGGTGGAGGATGATGATCTACAACAGCATATTTTTCCCTAGTTTAAATAAAAAACCATAGGACTTCGAGGTAGTATGTCTGGCCCGACATAAATCTTCACTTTATCTTTTAGGTCTTTGCACCGCCAGGTTGTGCAAAGTAAGCCATAATTCATTTTAGGTTCCGAGATACGACGTAAACCCTCATATCTTCCAGACTATTTGTATGACCGTGTTTGTATGAATTTGTATGACCGTGTCACGCAAATATAAGTCCTAAATAATAAAATTGACATGATGAAATATTAAATAACCTATTCTCGAAATTGAAGTCAAACAATAGGGTAGTTTGGGAAGTCGCCGAGGTTTCCCTCAGGATCCGTGACATCCCTACTTTTCCTTTGATTCCAGAAATAAATGTTCCCATTTGGTCCCTTTCCCCACTTGACTTTCTATGTCCAACCTTGGGAACCCTAAACTTTGAATTCATGAAGATAGATACCTCTGATCATCATTGAGAGGTAATTAACTATAGGGGTTTGCCTCTATATGGAGCTTTAAGAACTCAGGTAATATAAACCTTATCTAATTCTTAATATTAGGTAGAAAAACTTGTCAGTTAACATAAAGGTTCGCAGACTAAAACGGATGTTATAAATTTTTTAGTTTATTTGATCGAGTCTCACGGATATATAATGTCTATTTCTCGGAATAGGTATGTCACTTGTAATATTGTGTTTGTTTATTTACATTATCATCTATATGAGATCGGTTCAGTCTCCTATTTTCAAAATTAAACAATTACTTTTCAAAAATATATATAACATATTAAATCAAATATTTGTTTCTCACATTTTACGGTCGACAATGCCCAAAGGTATCAACTAAGCCACCCCAAAAATCATAGGGAAACAACATTGCCACCTTGTTTAGTAGCTCAAATCCTAATCTATCAATTGCTTCCCGTTTCCATGGTGGTAGAGGGGGCACAAACTCAATAACTCTCCTTCTAGAACAGGAATTTCAGTGACGACAGGAAAAAAACCAGATGTTGCAAAAAGACTGCAGGAAGATGTGTCTTTACTAAGGAAGCCTGCAAGAATTTGCAGCTAGCGAAAAGTTTTCCAGTCCGCAAAGAGAATTTTTGGCTGCTAGGGACCTGCAGAGAGGAACTTTTTGGCATGTAGGGCCCGCAAGAAGAGGGTTCTGGCGGCTAGTTCTTGTAGGAATGAGTTCAGACAGCTAGGTCCTGCAGTAAGAAAAAGCACCAAAGGGCCTGTTGTAGGGAGAATTTCAGAGGCTGGGAAGAGTTCTTTTGCTGCAGCAAAGAGAGGACTCTGGTGGCTCGAGAAAATTCTTGCCTCTGAAGACCTGCAAGCTGGCATATTTTTTGAGCCGACGGAATATCTGGTAGCAGAGAGACTTCCAAAGCCGACAGATACAGCCGTGACAGAGGAATGCAGAGTTTGGCAAAAAGATTCGAGTTTGCATGGAAGAGCATATACGAGTTGAATGGCTGCAGCTGAGGGCCTACAAGCTGCTGAAGGAATATGGCATAAATTCGGATGCAATAGATGCGGGCCTGTAGGGAAATTAAGGTGTGGCTTATTACTATTGTTGCTTTCTAGCGCTACTGTTTTACGAAAGAAGAATCCCAACAGAGGAATACCAAGAGGAGGGTTCCTACAGGGAATTTTGGCTAAGTATGTCGGTAGAGGCGGATGCGCAGCAAGAAAAAACTGCTTCATGAAGAATTTCTAGCGATTGAGAAATCTAGAGGTAGATTTTCGGCTACTGTAGGGATTTCCAGCACCGGGGAAGGGGATCACAGGGACAACGAGGCTTGCAAAGAGAATTTTCGACTATCTGTAGAGATATCTAGTGTCTAAGAAAGGAACTGCAAGGAGAAAGATGTCTGCAAAATGGATTTTTGGTTCTGGAAGGTCTGGAGGCTAGGGTCAGCAAGAAAAATACGTCGGTTACAGGAAATAAGAAAGTTTCCGGTGGCAGAAGGTCTTCTCCTCAACCGGAGACTCTGGGTTTTATTTTTTTCAAGGCTCTGATAGAAAAAGGGGGTATAAATTCAGCGGAATTATTTTATTGATATGAAAAGAAGATATAAATACACCTAATATAAACTGTAGAATAGGAAAGATAAGAAAAACAAAGAGAGATATAGCATCTATATCTCCAATTAATCACTTCCTAATAATTCTTTGGAGATGAAGAAAACAACATAAAATAGGAAAGCATAAAATATGAAAGGAAATAAATTCAATCAAAGGAAATAAATCTAATCCACGTAATTTCTAACAGAAATAAATTATTTCTTAATATAACTTCTAACAAAAAAAATCGGCATCCTCAAAAACTTATGCCAAGAAAGCAAAAAGTCTAAAGCAAGATCTCCATGAAGTGCATCTAAGAGACTTCAGGGGATTGAAAAAGATAATCATTAATCGAAAAGAGGAAAAATAGTACAAAATTGGATCACAACTCGAGTAGTACTAAGGCATTAGGGAAAAGGGTTACTGCCCAGCCTTAATTATATATTGTCGTTAATAATTAAATATTATAATTAAATATTAAAGATCAGTTGCTTTTTAGTGGTGGCAATTTGACATGAAACTATGAAAAAGTAAAAAAAGTGTAGGGAAAAACAGGAATGTATGCTAGAAAAAATTTGGATTAAATTTAGGAGCAAAAAGTTGAAGTTCTAAGAACGGGATGAATCCAATATAACATTTGAAGAAATGGAGGGGTATAAATCCAATAATATAGATGATAGAAGAGATAATGATTAAGATGAAATAGATACGAGCAAAGATTAAATTATTCCTGGATCATAAATGGTATAAAGTTAAATAATCTCTTTAGAAAAAAGTTCAAATTCAAAAGACAATGGAATTTGAAAATTAATTATTTAACCTAACATAATAATGAGATGATTAACACTTTACACTTTAAAAGCATCCACATTCAAAACAAGTTTATTAAAAGTTATATCTATTTTATTATTGGCACTTTTGACAACATTGCTTATCAATATATTAAAATTCACCATGATGATTGAAGAAAGAAGTCAAGGCAATAAAATAAGCTTCATCAGATCGGGAAGAAAATTTAATGGTAAGCTGATCAAGTGGAAATGAAAAAAAAAAAAAAAAAAGAATTGATAACATTAATAGTAAACCTGCCCAATGTTGTATGATATCATGCGGAGGAGAGACAGCGAGATATCTTCAGACCTATAGTCCGAAAGTTCTTTGGATTTTGAAATTGTCTTCCCAAAACTCGAGGCTATGGTAGATGCGGAAAGGCCAATCTGCAGTCCAGAAATGATAATATTAGTTATTCAATAAATAAAACTTAGATATCCATAAGAAATCTCTTCATTTTTAACCAATGCCAGAAGCCAATCCTACACAATTATCAGATCATTGTTGTGCATGAAAAGAGGATTAAAAGAAAAAAACTCCGGAGTTGCAAGAGATCAAACAAGTATAATTTCTTTTTGTTCGTTGAAAAACTAAAATGGGAAAACCTTAACTTCCAAGAATACATATGCCTAGAATACTTAAATAAATCAGTTTTTTAATTACTTAATTCTTCTTTTTAAAAAGATGCTAACGAACTAAGAAATACCTTGGAATAGTCCATCCCACCATATATATCTCCAACAAGCATGTCAATGTTACTGCTATCTCCTTTCTGGCTTAGCTCTAACAGCTCATCAAAACTACAAAATAGACAAAAACAATAATTAGTATAAAAATACAAAACATAATAGAAATTTCGTCGTGAAATATTGAAGGAAAATTTACATACCACCGCACAATTCTTAAATATTTACATATCTTACACCTTAAGTTTTGATATTTATACTTATTAACACCTTGATTTCATAAACCTGTGCATGAGAAGGTGTAATTCACTTCTAAAATGATGATGATGTCAAAGAATTGGGGAGTATAAATGTAAAAAGGCAGAATTTAGGTGTTATATATATAAATACATAGGAATTGGGTGGTATGTTTGTAAATGCCCCAATATTAAAACAAAATCAAACCTCCTGCACTTTGTTAACAGTTTTCCCAGGCCCCAATAAGTACCACCTCCAACGTTAGTGCCACTAACTCGTTGAAATTTCCCTTCCCCATCTACCTAAATACAAATCAATATATCAACTACCATAGGATGCCAAAAAAATTAATCCATAAAACAATGTCGTCAAATACAATGAATATCACTCAAGTGCATTACTTTGATAATACTAACGCCAGACCCGACATTAACAAGAAGGTAAGGAAACAAATCATGCTGATCAATCTGCACAAACTCCTTCTGACCCTCCATGTGTGTAAAGGCTTCATGTCGTATTGCCTGCAAAATAAACCAATATTTCATCATTGTTGCAGATATTCCAACTGTATATAGAAAGCAGAAGAGAATGCAAATTATGGAATGCTAAACTCCTGCGCATAGTTTGGTAATCTAATCTCAAATTATTTGGGCTGTGTAGCCATGGAGTGTAAAAACTTGGTTTTTGTTTGGAAGCCAAGTGCGCGCATGCACATGGTAGGAAAGGGTGGTGTTAGTAAATAAAGTTAATACTGGAGCACAAACTAAGGGTCTGCTTGGGAAAACTTCCTATCTACTTTACATTTCATATTGTCGTCATAGTTCCATTTGAAGAACTGCTTTCTTGTGAGAAGTAGTATTTTGGAGTTATATCTTTTAAAGTGACGTGGTTGTAAGAAAATTGTTGATACCATTCTAGGACTCCTAAAAGATATTTAGGAAGGGGATTTAACAAAGAAGTCGTCATGGAATAGCAAGGGAATGCAATATAGAAGTTTGGCGGGGTTTGGAATGGGATAGGCATTGATCACCAGCTCTCCTTGTTGAAAACAGCAAGACTAACCACGAAATGACAAGATACGGGCAGCGAGAAAGTTCCACTTCTTCCTGAGCAAGGCACAGACGCACCACTTGCAAAAGGAATAGAATACATCATTCCTAAATTAAGAAATCAGAGATTACATTCTCCATAAAACTCAAAAAAAAAGTAAGTTTTCAAAAGAGAAAAACTCCACACATATATAATCTTCTAATAAAAAGAAACATAATTGAAAATAAAAAATATGAAACAAAATCTGAAAAGAAAAAAAAAATTTCTATAAAGCGAATAAGGAGGGAATCGTGTGTTTCTGCTCGTCGCGATCACGAAAAAAGTTGTTTCTACGATATTGCATAATTCTTGTGATCGTGAATACAAGATATGTGATCCCATGATTAGGACGCTCTTGTATCATTCTCCCCAGCTAGGAGAGACTTCTTCTTCTTTAGAGGCTTCTGGAATCGACTTACCACCATCATAACAAAATCATCTTGTTGTATCTGAGAAAGTCTCACCGCAAAATCTATCCTCATGTCCATTTCAAGAAACTCCAAAACACGTGTTCTTCCAAATCTTGTCCAGATAGAATAAATATTTATTCTTTTTTTGGCACAATCAAAGTTGGAATTGCACATAAATGAATATTCTCACAAATTCTCGAGTCACTAAATACGTAATCTGCTTCTCTCAATTCTTGTACTCAGTAGGGTGAATCCAATAAACAAGTTTATTTGGAAGAACAAACTCAAGAATGAAATATGTGGTATGCTAGACCACTCTCAGTGGTAACCACCCAAGAGGTAATGGACGATTAGGATATCCAGCAACTCCATCAACAGGGGCTATCTCTTTTCTTATATCGGATCCTCGGGCGCACTATCTTCTAGAACAACCAATATTAATCCGGTTGGAGTCTCTATCATGAGCTCAGCTTGAATTACAAACGTCTCTTCCTCGTCAACTGAAAGTTCAAAATCCTTTCTGACATATTCATCTTCTACGGTGTTACTGCCCATTTATTCAATTGCTCACTGCTTAGAGAAATAGATCGTTCTCATGTTTAGGGTTTGTGGGCTCTGATACTATATGATACCGTTCAAGGGCTCCTATAAGATATTTAGAAAAGGGATTTAGCAAGAAAGTGGTTATGGAATAGTGAGGGAATAAAATATGGGAGTTTGATGATGTTTGGACTGTGATAGGCGTTGATTGGCAGCTATCGTGTTGAAAACAGTGAGAAGAACCATGAAACAACTAGGTACAAGCAGCGAGGATGTTCATTGTCTATTCTTGAGCAAGGAACAAACACACCGCTTGCAAAATGAATAAGATACAACACTCCTAAAGCAGGAAATCAGAAATTAATACTCAAACAACTAAAGTTCACACATATAGTCTTCTAATAGAAAGAAAACTAATTGAGTTCAGTTCAGGAAGTGGGTTTAGAGAAGAGGTGATTGTGGAATGATAAGGGAAAGGTAATATGCAGGTTCAATAGCGTTTGGAGTGTGCTACAGAGATAAGGTGGCTGTTGGACAGCAGTTTGGCGTTGATCGGCAGCTGCCCCACGAGCAGGAGGTGCGAAGATAGTGATTTCCTGCTAGAAACAACAGGTAACAACGAGCGGGATGGTTTTCTGGCTGAAAATAAGCAGGTCGAACTGTGATACTGCGGTATACGGGTGGCAAGGGAATTCCACCACCTGTGCTTAAACAAGATAGAGATGTACCACTTGCAAAAAAAATAATACAGCACAAACTTCAGAGAAAACACTTCTCAAATCATCAAATCAGAAAAAATTTGAAAATCCAAAAACCTTAACACAGCATTATATAAGTCTCTTCATAGCAAATACCTAATTAGAAACAAAATAAATAGGAAATTACTAGTAAGGAAAAAAAGATAAAAGAAAACTAGCTAAAATAGAGGGAAAATAAAAAAATAAAATCAATCGTTTCAGTTCTCCCGCAATCGCGATAATCGCCGGTCATGGAATCCTGCGAAACGGGATCACGAGTCCTTACAAACGCTCTAGCATCATTCTCCCATGCTAAGAGATGATTCTTCCTCTTCTTCTCTAGAAGAGTTTGGATCCAACTATTGATCGCTCTTTCCCACAAAACACAAATGAAGGTTGTCGAAACTGCAGTTCACCAAACCTGTCTGGTTGTCCATTGGATCATTATTGGACTGAATTGAAATTTAATACTCAAATTACTCCATATAGTCTTCCACAAATAACTCAAAAGTTTCTCATCTCTGACATGTTGAAGCTCTCTCATTAGTGGCGACTCGAGAGGTAGACAGTATGTATGAAAATTTGGAATTCTCTTATCTCTTGAAATTCTCTTATCTATAGTTGTCATGTGTCTGGTATCGACTTCTCAAATTTATGATCTTCTTGGAAAACCAATGTTAGAACTGTTGATGCTTAATGTCTTAATAAAACACATTTCATGACAATACACCCTCAAACTCTGTAGAGCACCCATTACCTCAGACTTAATACCTTCTAGGATAACCAAAGATAATCCTATTGTAGGCTCTCTCATGGGCTCAACTTGGATCACTCTCATCTCTCCTTCATTGACTACAAGTTGGTAATCCTCTCCATTCTCCTCCTCTAGGCCTTCACCCTCTGCCTCCTCTACTGCACCCTACTCAGTCAAAAAATATTATTCTCCCAATTGGGCAATCTGATGTCATGTGCCCAAACCCATGGCACTTGAAACACTATCTGGCTAGAATGGATTTGAGTGTGCTGGTGAGCTACGACAACATTAATGTGTATGTACTAAGGTAATTTTTTGATAAAGCCATGCTGAATCTAAAATGTTATCCATGACCATGCATGTTCTTTTCAATGTAACTTTTCCTTAGGGGCACTTACATGCATAGCACACAATTCTACTGCATTTACATATCTCACACTTCAGCTTTCATATTTATGCACATAGTATTCAAATCTTTAATATCACATCAAAAATAGTACTATTACCACTTTTAAAACTGAAATATACCTTTTCATACAAAAATTTAAAGTACCAAAGTGCTATGCATGTAAATATGCGAGTTTAGGTGTGAGATATGTAAATACATAAGAGTTGTGTGCTACATATGTAAATTTCCCTTTTCCTTATTATTAGTCCTTGCGAGGCAAGCAGTTAAGAAACAGCTACTGCATCAGGCAAACTATAGGAATAGGTTTTCAAGGGTGTATGAGCCTTAGTACTATGATTATATCAAACAAACATGAAACACATCACCTGGCTAACAGTATGTCCGGAAAACATTTAAACTAGGTTATATAACCTGCTAGATTGCATGCTTCGAAGTAAAAGAGATGAAGTTGTCAATCATAGCTTCTATATCTAACACATTGAGTATCAAATTGATAAACATCTCGCAGAAATTCCGAAAAAGAAAAAACAAAATCATTTCAGAAAACTTTGGAAATATATATGCCAAAACAGAAAGAGATATTTAATTTAAAAGTTACAAGAAAGCATAAAACATAACAAACCTTAAGCAGAAAATTTGCTCCAGCCACAAGACAATTCATTTCATCTTCTTTATCGAGACTAATCCCAAGCTTTTCATTAAATTCATCAGCATATTTGTACGCCCCACCACCTGTGGCCTTCTCAACAAAACGAAATTATTCAGAAATTTGCATCAAAAGCATAGACAACTTGTGATTACAAGACAAAGGGATTATTTTGGATTTTTTTTTAATGTTTAAAAAACATATTTGTTTTTTGTATTTTTACATATTTTCAATTAAAAAAAAAAACTAAAATGTTTCAGAAAATACTTGATTCAACTTTTAAATGTCTTAAATGTTTTTAAAAAAAAATCATACCTTAATCAAATATGTCAAACACGTTTAGTTTCAAATCAAAACAAACAAAAAAAAGAAACAAATCATAGAAAATTAAAAAAAAATGATCTCAAATAGGTCCTAAAATAATTTTACAAGGATCGAGGAAGCTAAGCCACATATTGGCATGCAAAAACACTTGCGCACAATCTCAAAGCAACTTCAGTGGTGATGCATTGATTTATACTGCTTAGAAATGCTAAACAATATAAGCACCAAGAAAACAAAAACGATTATAATTTCACATTAATCATTTATCTGCGTGATATGTTCGTAAAACTTAAAAGTGTATTCCCACTTATCTTCAGTAGTTGAATCTCTTCTCTCTAATAATATTGTTTCGCATCATATTTGTTTTAATATATAAACATCTTAAAATTCCTATTTTTATCCGACTCAATTAGACTATAAGTAACTTGTTGCCCAACACAGAAATAAATATGCAGTCTATTTAGTTGAAGTTTTATAAAATTTATGCTTATCCTCAACAATAGTCTCAGGGTCGGTTTGAGACAAACAGTTTTTTGTTTGCTTTGCTTTTTAAACTTCAACCATAATTTTGTTTTGGGGATTGGTTTCTTGCTGCTTTTTAGAAATTTCTGTGGTAGAAAGTTATTTTTTCAACTTGAGTTGTTAAAATGTAGCAGTTATCAAAAAGTTGTGATCTAAATTTTCGAAAATAAATAATTTTATAATAGACACCATAATTTTTTGAAAACAGTTTCTTCTGCAATAGTTTCACAACTACTTCTTCAAACAGCTGCTCAAAATACAAGTCATTAAGACACCTCTATACTTTAACCATCTAACTTCAACTATATGAATTATCTCCTCATACTTTTGGGTAAATACACCTAGTTATTTAAACTTATCATACCAAAATATCACTTAATAAGCCAATGATATAAGCCAATGATATAAGCCAATAATTATTAAGTTGAAGTTGGTGTCCAATAAGATTTTATGTTATGTACAAAATCTTCATTATGTTAATAACAAGCTCATTATCTTTAAAAAGATTACTAATCTAACCTGTAACTTGCTAAAATATATACTTTTGCCGCTCTATTTCAATTGCAAATAGCACATGTGCTACCACATCTTATCAAATTGATAATTATAACGAAAAGAAATAGAGCTCAAAGTTAAATTTGATATAATATTATCATGATTAAAACCACTTGGTTAATTACTAGCTACTTGAAGTGTTAATAACTACTTCCATATGCATATTTTTCTTCAACATCAATGCGCTACTGAAGTGCACATTTTCTACTAAAATCCCACCATATAGATTATAAAAGTACTCAATCATATGCCTCTTAAGGATCATTAAGAACATATGGATAGCTTTTAAACCTTTTCTTCTGATTTTCTAAGAACAAATATATATTTTCAATTAATATGCCTGGCATAAACCAAAATGGCTCTTCAACGCCAACATTTACATAGTAACTAAGTGGGTCGTTTTTATAATTATCGTTTCCTCTTTGGACAATTTCTTTTCTTAGTTATTTAGTAATTTTAGATTTGTAGATAGAGGAATTCTAATTTTTTATGGCAGTTAGCCCATTTAAACGCCCTTTACCTTGTGCATAAATCAGTTTTTAGGACTTTTGATTGCAGGTTTTCTAGTTTAGAATGGATTTCCCATGTTTGAAAGAAGTGGAGAGGGAAGAATTTCATAGCGGAGTTCAAGTCAATAAAGATCATAGTGGAGTCCAAATCAATAATAATCCCATGGTCGGATGAATTTGAGCGAAGCAAATTCTAGTTGCTAAATATGTAAATTCATAGGAAATGGGTGTTGTGTATATAAATGCCCCAATCTTCAATTATTTCAAATTCTAGAATGGCATTCTTGTAATTATAAAAATGTGGGAAGAAATCATGCTACTGCTCATTAATTTTTAGAACTTCTAAACATTTCATTTTAGTACAACCTGAATGGTTTGATGCTACTTTAAACTTAATTTTATTTAGTTCCCTTATTTATAAATGTTTAAGCTACTGCTTGTCCAAATTATCTTAAGAACTGCATGGCCTTAGACATAGCAAGTAATTATTAGCAAGCCAAATTTAATGCATAAGAACACATGATTAAATATTTTATAGTTGTTGTCATTAACATCATGGTTTCAGTTATCATTTCTATGAATAAAGTAAAATTCTTGTTGTATATGAATATGAACGTTTAAAACTAAGAATGTAATTCTATGTCCATCAAAAGATTCCTTTCCGCTTTTTCAATTTAACAAATCAATATTCCATAATAAAATTAGTATAATTTCAGTGATTAATTCTATTCAAAGTTATCCACTAAGGCTTCGTTCGAACGGCGAAGCTCCTTTAAAAGCCACGTCCGCCAAGTGAATAAGGTCGGTTGCAATCTAAAATGGCGAAAACTTGTCGTTCTAGCGAAACACCTTCAGGAAAGATTCTGAAGACACTGCTTCCCCAAACAATAGCTTTTCCACGCATCCAAGTTCACTGCAACAAAGCGGAGTTTCATCGCCTTCTCAAACGAAGCCTAAAATAATATCCTTTCACAATTGTAAAAATCCATGTAGCCACTTGCAAATATCATTATAAACAAAGGGTGGAACTCTGAACATCAAGGATTGGTCCTCTATTATTAAAAAAAAAAACAATCTACTTACTGTCACGAAATCAGGTATCAACGGCTAAATATGTAAATTGTCAGGATAACTTTAAAAGCATGCCTTGTGACTGAAAAATCAGGATTGTTATATTTAAAATTGATTATTTAGACAAATCACCAGACTTTTTGGATATGTGGCAGCATTTTAAAACCATCCTGGTGCATTTTGCAACAAGATGTCCAGAAACAATTTCTTTTCAAACATATAGCAACTAAAGTGAACAACAAAAGAGAAGCTTGATAGCAGAACATTAAAAGTATGTGCAAAAAATGCAAGCTTAGTAACAATTACCTTAATTATAATGTTACCATTATACCGAGCCCTTGAATTCCATGAAGGTGAATCAATTCCTATTATTCAAAAAAAAAAAAAAGTTTTAACCTGTCACGGTAAGAAATGTGCAGTAATAAGAATGTTCGGTAGAAACAATATTGCAATACAAGATTATGAAATTTAATATGTTACAAAAAAAAGACTTATTTCAAGAAGCTTTGCTCCATGTTGCTTTGATTGCAGACTCTTTGAGGATTTCGTACTTTTCATAATGGATTTATATAGATCTCATGCATTCAAACATGAATAAATAAGGAATTGTGAAATTCCCAAATTAAGCGCACTCTCAGGATGAATTAAATTTTATGGAATAACATAAAAGAAAAAATACTAATAAGAAAAAACACAAACTCTGTTTTTTCTAGTTTTTTTTTTTTGTTTGCCTATTGTATCCTCATTTAATACTTAAATGTTCAATCCAAAAACAATGTTAGGAAACAACTCATTGAAACAATATGCATACCACCAAGATGAAGATGCTTCGAAGCAATAAAATCCAAGCATTCGTTCAGCATCCCGGTTTCAAATTTCACAAAATGGAGTCTACCACCAAGTATCGGGTAGCTGCGTCTCTTCCCAGTAGAGATCCCAAGCCTTTTCTTCATGGACCTCCTCCTCTTATCATCTTGTGAATGCTCCTCATGACGTGAGAAGTAAATCAACTTAATGAGTGATCCTAGAGAAATAGGAATATTGTGAGACAGGTAGGGTATAAGGTTTATAAGACAAAAAATAATGATATTGCTACGATTGCACATTATGCTCCTTATATGCATTATTTATAAAGAAGATGTACAAATCTGACACCTAAACTTCAATTTTTACATACATACCACCATACCTAAACATTAATACGTATTTTTTAGGTGTTAGATATGTAAATTCATAGGAATTGGGTGGTATGTGTGTAGATGCCACTATTTATAATCCCAAGTCAGGTTGTTTTAGCTCATCTAAAGCTACAAATATCGCCAAACAATTACAATTGTGTCTACCAATATATTTATGTACAACTTGTGCATATGTTATCATCTATAAAATTCAAAACCAAATATAACAACATAAAAAGAACATGATTCTATCAGTTAAAGATACTTGATTACCTTTAGCACCCTTGCACTTCATCCAAGTTATTAAAAATTAACCTTAATAATCCTAATTCGCTTCTACCGGGAAGATTATATAAGTATTCTCCAAAACAAATCACATACTTCTATTTTGAGAAGTAGAAAAACAAGTAGAATTATAGGATATAATGAAAGCAAAAAAATGTCATGAAGCATAATGATATGAACACAATTTGTAGCAAAAACAGCTAAACAAAAATTTAAACTTGATCGGTACCAAACAATGGTGTAATCATATTTACTCAAAAAAATACATGTTGTATGCACAAGCTTTACTTGCAAAATAAAATTATGGAAGATTTACATACATGCCACTCAATTCCTTAGTGTTCGCATATTAAACACCTAAACTTTTAATTTTTATATAAGTACCACCTTGCCTATGCATGAAAAGGTGTATTTCAATTTTTCAATGCTAAAATAGTGGTATTTTTTATGTGATATTAAAGTTTTGGGTGTTATTTAAAAGTAAAGTTTAGGTTTTAGGTGTTAGACATGCAAATATATAGGAATTGGGTGGTATGTATGTAAATGCCTCAAACATTATTTACTTATAATCAACACAATTCTATATTTTTACGCGTGTCAGAAGCAAAGGAAGAAAATAGTAGTAACAAGGCAACACAAGCACATAGATGCTGAACTTTAAATAATCAACACTGAGACAATAATAAATTAAAATAAACAGTGCAGAACCTAATAAAACATGTTTTGAGCATAGAAGATGAAGACAATAGTATCCATTTCATACATAAACAGGAAGCTGAATGATTCAACCATGGCAACGTAAAGGATATAACTAGCAGTAGTAAATGATTTCAAAGCAGACAAAATTCATTCAGATGATATATTACGACTGTCCAATGTTAAAAAAATAAAATGAAAAAATTGAAGTTTACGTGTTAGATATGTAAGCAAATAGGAATTAAGTGGTATGTATGTAAATCTTCCAAAATAGTAATATGGATTAATACAAACAGCATAAAAGACCTCCAATATCCAGGGCCAGGTGAGAGATGTCATCGGACTGGTTAGGCAGCAAAATTGTGGGGTTCCTCTCCTCAGAATTACTCTGAATTGCTGCCCCAGTAAGGTCAAGCAGTGGCCTTGACCCAGAACGATTCATGGAGCTCGTCGTCGCAGGTGCAATCTCCTTTTCTTCCCCTTTCACTTTACCGTATTCCTCCAAACTCTTCCCTCTGTTGTTCCCTTCATCGTCACCCAAACTCCCGGCCATAAATACTCAACCTTCCACCTCCTGCCCAACCAAACAGCGTCAATAAATGATCTACGTGGTTCAATTAATTCTTTAGAAAGTAGAGCATAGTTCAAAAGTCAAATGGCTTTATGCTGATTAACACCCAACAGCAAAAGCATTAACCTACCACTGGATTGGCCCAACCAACCCTCTAAACAAGCAAAACCTAACTTCCCCAACCATAAAATCTTAGGTGACGACCATTTTTTAAAAAACTGAATTAGGATCTAAAACCAAATAATAGAAATCAGTAGATTGGAGAGCGAAGAGACCATTAATGCCTTCTAAAAATAACAAAATATTTGTTAAAAAAACAATATAGATTAGAAATTGAAGATAATTACTCACAGATATACAGTCAAGAAAAAGAGTGTGATTAATTGAGCGCTAAGAACAGCGGATTTTGAAGAGATTGCTTGAGAACAAGACAGAAAATGATGAGGGAATAAAAAAACCCTAACCTTTCTGTACCCTTTCAGCTTCGCGGTTTTCCACGAACTTGAAAGAGATCGTGGGCGAGAAGTAGAGCAGGAGCAACGGTAGTGGCGAGTTTCAGCAAGTTTCTACAGTCTGAACGCGCTCGCATAAATTATATGGGCACTTACATATATCTACCCAATTTTTATGTATTTATACATCTGACCTCGATACTTTGTAATTTTTCCATAATTTTACACAAAAACCGTCCAAAATTTTAAATATAATATTTTGAGCCTCAAATTTTAAAATTTACATTTCAATCACCTCAAATAATATTTTATTTTAAAATATGAGCCATTTAATATTTTAAATTTAAATATTTTGGTAGCTTTTTAGTAGTTAAAATATAAAATTTTAATTAGATAGTAAATATGTTATATTTAAAGTTTTGGCTGATTATTGTGTAAAAATCCCCTATTTTATATTTTAAAATATTAAATACATTTTCTTATGAAAAAATGAAATTATTTATATGTAAATACATAGGAATTAAGCGGTGTATATGTAAACCTTCCATTATATTAATTTTAATGATGGCTATTATTTCAATAAAAAAATAGAATATATTAAACAAATCAATTTAAATTTGGAATTGATGAAAATTTTAAGTTATTATTAAGCAAGGCTTTATCAGCCTATTTATTATTTTTAGTCAAATGATGTTGTTAGCCCTTCTCTAATTTTAATAGAATTTAATTAAATTAAAAATAATGTAATTTCTTTTGACAATAAAACTAAAAATTATGTAAAATAAATGTCATTGCATTTGATAAAAGTAAAATAATCATTTTAAATGTCAATTACATATTACTAAAGTCAATTTCGTGGATGTAAAGGTCAATTTGCATCAATTTAAAATTATATTAAAAATTAATATTATTAAGGAAAAAAATGTATTTTAATTTTGAGAAATTTACATATGTACCATACAATTCTTATGGATTTACGCATTTAGCACGTAAAATTTGATATTTACATTTATAATATTTTGGTCGATAAAAGTGTTCTGTTGAGCATATGCATTTGATTTTAGAAAAATTAGTTAAATTGATAGTTTGGCTATGATGTCAAAAATTTGAGTGTATGAGTGTCAATATTAGAGTTTAGGTGTTGTGAATACATAAGAATAGTGTGGTATATATGTAAAAATAAGATACCGGAGGGTTTTGATCAAATTGAAACAATTTACTATGCAAAATCAAAATTATAAAATTAACCTTGAATAGAAAATCGAATAAGAATTCATGAGGGGGAAAAAAGTTAGTTAATGATGATCATCAATATTGGTTGACAATTGCCGTACAATTATAATTGAGTAAAGTGTAAGAGATTTACATAAGGTTGTTATACTCCAATAGTTTATAGAAGTGTCAAAATAACTCTCAGATTCTTTAAATTGGGTCTAAAATAGTCCCTATTGAAAACTACTAGAGCTCAAATTTAAAATAGTCATGAACTATTTTAAGAGTTCTATAAAGTCTGAGAAAAACGACATCATGTAAATAATTGAGGTCTACTTCGACATTTTACTCAATCATGATTGTTGGAAATTAAGGTTACATAAATTTTTAAATTACTTCAAATTGGATTGTTCTCTTCACTAAAAATGACTTGTTGTTTTGACCATATATCTAACTATTTGTATTGATATGCCATCAACAAGTTTTCATCATCTAACGCGTATCTTGATGCATTACACGGATCTCAAAGAATGAAACGTATCTCGAAACAATTTTTTTAGCAAAAAATATTCAAACTTTGATGAAAACTCATCAAGAAATTTGATTTCAGCAAACTTACAGTCAAACTGATCGGCTCAACTAGATAGACTCAATAATACTAAAATTGGTCAAATCTGAATCAAATCAAGCCCTTATCAAGATATTAAACCGCGTTTGGAAGTTCATTTGATTTCAGCAAACTTACAGTCAAACTGATCGGTTCAACAAGATAGACTCAATAATATTAAAATTGGTCAAATCTGAATCAAATCAAGCCCTTTATCAAGGTATTAAACCGCGTTTGGAAGCTTTACAGACATATTTTGAAGGTCAACGGACGTCGAATCCAACAAGTTTATAGAGGAATCCAGCGTCTCGACAAAGAGGAATCCAGCGAGCCCAAGATTGCTCAACTTTGACATGGTTAAGGTACTCAAATATCCATTAAACACCGTCTGAATGAATGAAACTCTCATGACCGTCTAATCAAAGTGATTCATATTTCTATATTAATTGCACCCAAAACAATACAACTAGAGCTTTGCCTCCCTCATGAGAGGAAGGAGAGTTTGAGATATGATGAAGAACTTGAAACCTTGAGAATGAGCTGAAGTCTAGCACCGCCGCCGCCAACCATCATCGACCACCTTTGACCTCCATCAACAACTGCTAACCCTCGTCGATTTTCGTTGATCATCGTCGACCCCTATTGACCATCGTCAACCATCATTGACTTTCGTCAACCACCGTTGTTCGTCATCGATCAATGTGATCGTCGTCGACCACCATCGACCGTTGTCAACCACCTTTGACCATCGTCGATCACCTCCAACCACAGTCGACCACCGCCGATCAAACGTTGTCAATCGTCAATGGTCATCCTCGTTCCTAACAACAAATTCATCAGTATGTCGATGCTGTAACTTAAGAAATCAAATTTCCCACTTTTGGACAAGTGTTGACAACTATAATCATCTTTTTATTATGAAACTCTTCAACTGGCTAGGCCCGTGGTTTTTTCGTTTTATGGATTATCCAAGAAAAGTGTCATTATTAGTGTTACTTTTTTTTTCTGAGTGTGTGTTGAATCCTCGTACCATGCTCTGCTACTCAGCTACAGTGAATTTTCTAACATGCATCAGTTTTACGCCGTTAGTGAAAATTTTTAATCAAACCACTGAAGTATTTGTGAGCATTACTAAATGGTCGTCGGACACAATATTCGTTACAATGGAGCATCCCGCTCCAACACCCATTATTCCATGGAGTTGTCACAAAGCCAAGAGTGGCATGCCTCTTCATCTTTACGCCGTGAGAGACGTTATCTTGTCAACGAATGCATGGCAGGTCCTTCTCTGGAAGAACAAATGAGCATAATCAACTATAGTTCTTACAGCTCCTACACGGGGCTCAACAATCACCATGCACACCATTGGATAAACTTTTTTTACCACTAAGGATAAACTTTTTTTACCACCAACTCAATGACCTACAGGAAACGAACTGATTAGAGCAACTCCTACCGACCCCCTCCCCAAGAAGGGGTACTTCCCCTACCAGGTTGTAATGTTAAACTCCTAGATGTCGCAAGTTCTACTCATCAATCTAACGCAACTCACCTGACACTGTCACACATTGCCGTCATTCTAAATGATGTAATTTGTAATGAGCTACAACGCCTCATCCGGGTAGAGTTCCCCCAAGAGAAAAAGGATTGCTTCCCTACTCAGTGTAACGTCCATGTAGCTTCTCCCTTAGCAGATGCATATTTTCAATACCCCATCTCAACATGCTTAAAACTTTTGAACATCAACACCTACAAAGGGAATATTGGCCCCTATGATCATAGTGATCATTATATAGTCATTATGCACATTCAGGTGCCTCTAATGTGCTTATGTGTCAAGTGTTCCCTACTAATTTTAAAGGGCAAGCTCTCACATAGTTCTACTTTTTGCTAGGGGGCACTATAAACACTTTAACGAGCTTGTCAGGCTATTAGTGGAGCAGTTTATGGCAAATCGACAGATCATCAAAGATTCATCTCATCTCTCTGGAATTCACCAGGTTTATGGCAAATCGACAGATCATCAAAGATTCATCCCATCTCTCTGGAATTCACCAGAGTGAAGGAGAGTCACTCAAAGACTACTTTCACAGTTTTTTTCTTTGAAGCTTGTCAGATTCTGAGAGCGAATCAGGAGTTACTGAGAGGAGTCATCCTTGGGGGCTTTGCCCAGAACCCTTCTACTCATCACTAATGCGAGAGACAATTCATTCTTATGTTGAACTTACCCATCATGTTGAGGCCCAAATCACTGTGGACAAGACCATTATTGCACATAAGGAGCAGTTTGAGCAATTTAAGGGAAAGCAAAAGAGTAACACAGGAGATAATAATAGATGCTCGCAAGGGAGAAAGTCTAAATAATAGAGGGATCGTGACCTCCCTTCCCAACTTACTGACCAGCGAAGTAAGCATCGACTTAAGAAAGAGTATACACCACTCAACACATCGTGTGTTAACATCCTGATGACCATCAAGATGAGGAAACTATTAAGTGGCCTCACCCCCTAAAACATAACTCGGGCAAAACAAACCAGCTAATACCAATAATGCTCATACTGGGGGGCAACATACACAAAAGCAACAACATAGGGTTCACCCAGTCATGGGCAAAATTCAGACAATTGTTGGAGGTCTGTTGTTGACCGATAAAATCCTTATCATTGCACCTGTGAACCAACACAAAAGAAATTACGCATGGAGCCTATCACTTTTGATGATTTTGATTCAAAATGAGTCTAAGTCTCCCACCAACACCCTCTCGTCATTATCACAAAAATTGACAAACCCTGTTACAACGTAAAGAAGATTCTGATCGACGATGGAAGCTATGTCAATGTTTTGTTCTACTTCACTTTCCTCAGTTTGGAATTGACAAGGGGAAAAACTTTAACCAACATCTGAGCCATTATACAGTTTTGATAATTGACCAATAAGGATCAAGGGAACAATAAATCTCTTCATTTTCATGGGAGATCTTCCTCGACAGACAACCCACTAAATTCAGATCATCGTTGTCAACTCAAAATCATCATACAATTTCATGTTCAGGAGAACTTTGCAATCCATCTTTGGCATTGCGACCTCTGTGCTACACCTAAAGTTTAAGTTCCCAACTCCATCAGGGATCAACATCGTATGAGGGGATCGACAGATAGCACAATCATGTTACCTCAGGCAAGCATAACCATGCCCATCAATGTCACTTGGCATCGAGAAATTTGATCTTTGAGATGAAGGTGTATTTCAATAGGCTTCCCCCGTTAAAGACTTGATTCACGTCTTACTCTTTGATGAACACCCCTCACAAACGGTACAAAATTGGTTCCCTACTCTCCAATGCGCAGAGGTCAGAATACGTAGGTCTCCTCCATATTAACCAAGATATTTTTGCATGGACTCTAGCTGACATGCATGGAGTCAACCAAATAATAATCATGCACTCTTTAAAGGTAGATATGACCTTTAAACCGGTCATCCAGAAGAAAACCAACTTCACCCCAGATCGCTTACATGCCATCAAGCGGGAAGTCAACAAGCTTTTGGAGGCAAAGTTCATACAGGAAGTAAACCACCTTGCGTGGCTGACCAATGTTGTCATGGTCAAAAAAGCCTGCGGTGCATGGAGAATGTGCGTCGACTACACTGACACCAATAAGTCTTGTCTGAAAGGCAATTTCCCCCTCACGCACATAAATCAACTCGTCGATGACACATTCAAACACTAGATCAGTTTTATAGATGCATATTCAATGCACAACCAGATAAAGATGAATCTGAGAGACGAGGAAGCCATATCTTTTTAGAAAAATAAGGGTTTGTACTGCTACCAAGTTATGACATTTGGGTTGAAAATTTCCAGTGCAACCTATCAATACCTCATGAAAAAGAGGACTTATATTTACTACAAATATTTCTATTTATAAGTTTTGTTTGTAGTGTAGATGCCTTGCTTGTAGTTATCATATACATGTTCAAAAATGTTATATCATGCTTGTTCTCTTGATTTCCACAGTTTCATATATGGTAATGATCACCCATAAAAAAATTCGAAAGAGTGGCTGATATGCTTTTGAGGTGTATTGGGAAAAAATTTTTTTTTTGCACTTTATCGTCAATTTTTTTGGGGTACCCAATAAGATATTGCCAGTGTATCTCCTCCTATATTTACATCGAGACATAAATACGTCAGTTTAAATTTTCTCACCTCAAATTACTACTCAACAACTACTCAACAACACATAGTGCATCGCATCTCTCTCTCTCTCTCCACGGAGAACCTCGATGTACACAAATAACAGAGACACAAGATTTGTTGTTCGCTTGGATCTTATTCCCATAATTATTTTCATTCACATTGGATGGTATTGTTTGCTTGAAACTGTGAATCGTGCAAACATGCACCCACTTTTAACTCAATATTGTCTATGACTAGGTCGGTTAAGTAGCCCTCGATGCAATTATCTCTATCAATGTTCTCATAAAATATAGATTCAAATCTTGGAAGTCTTCTACCCAATGTATTAGTAATGATCCACACCTTTTTGCTATGTCAAAATACAACGTGTTTTCTATCATTTTGGATAATTACCAACATCTTTATTTTGCTACATCAACTTGATTAAGAAATCATTTTCATAACATCAACTTCACCAGTCATCAACATATACTCTTTTGGTGAGGTTTTACACTTATGATAAGATAGCTTAAATTCATATCCTCCAAGTCACAAACAAATTTCTTCGATCATCTCTTTCAAGATCTCTAAACTCAAAATATCTTCTTACATCTTTATAGTTATTTGTTTGCAACTTTCATATATTCTTTTTAACTGATTTTTAAACTACATCCAGTACTTCATATTTGAATTAATTTCTCACACTGGATCACACAAGTTATACATAGAAATAATGCTAAGTTGAGTAAATGATTTAAAAAAAAAACTTGCACATAAATTATATTTATTTTTCCTGGTTAAATTGAAACAACTTCATGTTTTACAATAACATATTTCATTAAATAATAACAAATATGATTTTTAAATAATCAAATGTAAAAAATACGACATATATAATTAAGTTACTTTCAAGTCAAAGTTTTTTATAATTGCTTGTTGATAATATAAGGAATTATATATCTCAACTTTAGAGCGAAGAAATTAGACACAGAGCTAAGGAGATAACACCACTGTTAGCTCTGATTGATCAAGTCAAACAACACCAACACAGTAACACTCATCTTCAAATTTATAGTCTTTAAAAAAAAAAAGTTTTGAGATCTTAAGAAGTGCACACTACTCTCAAGAACACACATCAAGACGTACTACTCTTAAGAATACACACTAATGCATTATGATTGTACATAAATACTTGAGGAAAGAGAAGGATTAGTATTTTTTAAATCCATTAGTTTTGTCCAAAAGATGCTCTATAGTATATTCAAATGCTACGGGAGAAACATGACCTCAGTTTCCTTAAATGCAGGAATGAAATCTTCTCCCAACATATCTTTCCCTGTTAATGTAAAATCCAAATGGCCAATGAATCTCTTTCAATCACTTTGAGCACAGACTACATTCAAGTGACTAATATCTTTATATTAGTAAGCTTACTAAATATTTGATCTTCAATGTAAACTCTTATATTGCTATTACAAATTTTAGTATTTATCCGCAGGATAATAATTACCAGCATTACGATCAAAATGATTATTGCTATTTTGATGATTCGCAGTGGTCTCAAGCTTTGTATGATTGCTGTATCTCTTTCGTAACACCTATATCCCATTTTTTCTGTATGTTTACTTAAATCCAGGGTTCAGTAAATCGGGATTTATAAGAGAGAGGGGGAAGAAATACGACGATTGCATTCTTTAATGCTTTTAGGTAAGAGCGGAGCAGAGCGTATGGACGAGAAAGATGGCACTTTAAGAGATCTTTGTATGTCGCGACCACATCATTGCCTTCCCAACTAGCTCGTGTAGAGCTGAGCATGAGAAGAAGAGAGATGACCCTTTAAGAGGTCTTTGTATGCCACAATCCCGTCGATGCCTTCCCAACTAGCACCTCTCAATGTGTCAAGAAGAGAGAAATGACACTTTTTCAGAGGTTTTTGTATGTCTTGATCACGCTGTTGCCATCCCAACTTGCTCTAGTATCGACTTCATTTCAAGGAAATGGGAAGACGACTAGATCTTCAACTTAAGAAGGAAAGGAAGGGACTAAAGATTTACTTTTCTGCGCATAAGATCAGAGAGGAGAAACAAAGTTTAGTATGGGGTTTCATATTCTTTCGAGATAAGATTAAAGTCTTTCACTTTGATATATATAATTGAAAGTTTGCCATTTCATATATGTAATAAATACATATTATTTAAATTAAAATTGAACTGAAATTTGATAAAACCACTTGGTCTTTATTGTGTTGATGAGTGCTTGACAGGATTTGGTGAGCCGAGATCTCATCCATTAACTCACCTCTAAAAACCATCATAAAAAAAAACACGACTATTAAGGTGAATCTAACGGCTTCAAGCTACCATCAACGCCCAGGATTCTGCCAACAAATAAAGCTCACCCATGAATAAAAAAAAATACACCAATCGCAAAGCAAATCGAACTGCCCTTGTCCGCACATATAATAATTTCATCGAAGAACATGTATGGGATTTTTGCACCTGCACAACTTCTTCAGCTCGCTCGCGTAATTTCTCGGTGCTGCCTTCTTCTCTTCTCCATTTGCTTCACTCTCCTGCTCCGCTCTCACTCCAGCCCTCACCGCTGGCGCAAAGATAACGATCAAATTTTCCGAAAAAATCCCTTCTTTCAGGTAATTTGCTGTCTCCCACACCCTCCCAATCCTTTTTTCTTCACTTTCCCCATTATACCACTGTTTTTTTCACTCCGCGCCCCTGCCCCGTCTCCCCTCCTTCCTCCGTCGAACATAAATGGATGATCTTGCGCCTCCGGAAACACTAACCACCGATCCGATCCCCACCGAAAGCTCCGATCTTGGGGCTGAAACCCTAGTGCAAAGCTCCAACAATGCTGTTAGGGATGCTTCGTTCGTCGCCGGCGACTTCGTTTGGGCGAAAGTCAAAGGTCCGTTATGGTGGCCGGCGCTCGTCTCGCCGGAGAAGAAGCAGGATTCTGTTCTCGTCTCCTATTTTGGAGACTGCGATACTTTAGCCTGGTGCGAACCCAAGCAGCTGAAACCTTTCCTCAAGGTGTTTGACGAAATGTCTAAGCAGAGCAGCTCCAATAGTTTTTTGCGTGCTTTTGAAAGCTGTATGAAGGGGATTGAGGGGAGTCTGGTGCTGGAGATGACCTGCCATTGTGTCCCGGTTGAAGCCCGGCCGAAGCCGACACTAGAATTAGGTAGCAATGAGGTTCCTATTGCTAATATTTCGCCAATGGAGTTTATGGATTGGATAATAGATGCGGCGAGGGATGTTTTCGTGGTGCATTCGATTGAGATTCTCCAGTTGAAGAGTTGGGTGTTCGCTTTTGGAAGAGGTTCGATGCAGGGAGAGTCGTTGGAATTTCGCCGGCGACGAGGGATTGAGGATTTGGTGGATAAAATTGATCTTGATGCGTTGCCCGTGGAAATGGTTGGCGGAAAGGATGAAGAAGACGGGGGCTTGGTTGTAGGGGCATCGAAGAGGAGGATGAGGAGGAGCGCACGAAAGCCGGTAATGGAGGTGGCTTTGGATGCATTAGAGATGGATGAGGACGAAGAGGAGAAGGAGGCGACGGCGGCGGCGGAGAGGATTTTGAGGTCTACAAGGTGGAAGAGTAAGGGAAAGTTGGAAGTTTTAACGGCAGAAGAAGAGATTGGCTCTAGCTCAGGTAGAAGGGAGAGGAAGAAAAGTAAGTATCTTTCGCCTCCATATACGAATTTGAAAGAGGTGGGTAAGTTTTTGGCCACATTACCGAAGAATTCGGAGGAGAAGTCTCGAAAAGCTGCAAACTTTCCTGATCACAGTGAAGAAGAAGATGATAAAAATAGCTATTTGGTGAAAATTGAAAGGATGCCGATGCTCGAGTTCTTTTCTGAATTCGTTGCTGCAGCAAAGGATCCTCTTCATTTAAAAGGCCATAGGACCGCCGAAGTTATCAAATACTTCTTTGCTGTGTATAGAAAATCTGAGTACTCCGGAGGTGATGAGATCGAAGATTACAAGGAACTGGTGTGTGAATCTATAGCTAAAACTGAAGATGGTGTCGATGATGCCAGAAAACACGAGCACGACGATAGGAATAACAAGCATGGAGCTCACAAGGAAACTAGCTTGGATCTTAAACAGCGGAAAAGTAATAGCAAGCGTGTAGCTGATCAGGAAATTAAGTTTGATTTCGAAGAACCTAAGAGGATTCGCAAGAATGAAACCATTCAGGGTAATGATTCGGATTCTAAACGAAAGAAGAGTCATAGTTTGGAGAAAAAAAGGCCTAGAAGGAAAAAGATATCAAACGATGGGAGAGGCCATGGAGTTTCCCTCAATCTTGATTTACAAGTTGAAGATACTTTTGATGGAGGCGAAGCAGAACGAAGGACTGGAAACAATAAGAATGGCACCAGCCAGGAAACACCTGCTTTGAATGAAGGCGAAGAGAAACAGAAGCCTAGCAGGAAGAAGAAGAAGATGAATGATGGAATCAGTAAGGGAGTTCTAGCTGGTTTCAATCTCCACGACGTAGATGGTGGTTCGAGTGAGAGCAAACCTGGACGAGGTACAAAAAGATCGAAGAATGATGCCAACGGCGAAGCGGTGGTGAACGCTGATCTGCAAATTGTAAGCAGTTTTAATGAAGGTGGCTCAGAAAAAAAGGTGAGGAATCGCAAGGATGTTGCTATAAATTCTCAAAAACCAATTTTGACGAATGAGAAGAAGATTAGAAGTAAGGAAGATGCTGCTAATAGCAAAAACTTCCAAAATTTGGTTGTTAAAAAAACAAAATTTGTTGGAGGAGCTAAGTCAAGTCCCAGGAAAAAGGGTGATACGGGTGCCGGTCCCCCAAAATCGAAGATTGGAAGGCGGAAGGTGAAGAAGGCTGATCCTCTTTATGGAAGACAGGCGGCTCTTCAGCTGACCTTCCATTCTGGCATTGCTCTTCCTTCCATCGAAGATCTCATCACCTCATATACCAAGTATGGCAATTTGATCGACACCGGTGTTGAGTTGTTTGAAGAATCAAACTCTGCACGTGTCGTGTTTGCGAAAGCCTCGGATGCGGAAAATGCATTTAAAGATAAAGCTGGCCCCTTTGGTTCCGTCGCCACCTATCGACTCCATTACTTGTCCGAAAACCTCATCAATCCTTCACAGACGAATCACGAACTCGTCTCCTCCATATCTCCTTCGCAACAGAGTACCGATCTAAAGTCCACAGTTCTTAAGCCTCCACTTCCATACATAAGAAAAAGCTTAGAAACGATGATTTCTACTCTCGCTTCTTCTTCTTCGTCTCCGGTCAACATTGCTGGTTCTTCATCCGATGGGTTGAAGCCGGAGGCTAGGGATAATCTGGTTGGTGAGATGCAGGGCCTTCTTCAGAAGGTGGAGAAGATGCTGAATGGACCTGGTTCTACCTCTTCCACTTAGTCTAGAGAATAAATTTCTATATTAGTTTTAGACTCATGTTTTTTTTCCTTTATGTCCTTGTATTTTTTTTAAATTTTTCTTGGAATGCACCTCTCTTCCCATTGTCTATTATTTAGTCTTTTATGTAATGTTAGGCTGAGATTACAACTTATGGGATAGCTCCTGTGAATGGTAGGCTCCCTTTGTTGCTGTTGTATGTTAATTGGCTTGAGCTTGCCTTGCTTTGCTGCATTTCATGGTCTTCAATTTTACTTGGCTTATATGTATTTTCTACGGAAATTTACATATCTAGCACACATTTTTTATGTATTTACATATCTCACAACAAGGCTTTCATATTTACATACATTGCACTTCGGCGCTTCAAAACTGTGCATGAAATTATGTATTTCACATTTAGAAAGTGGTAATGCTGCTATTTTATTGTGATATTAAAGATTTGAGTGGTGTATAAATATGAAAGTTTAGGTTTAGGATATGTAAATACATCAGAATTGTGCGCTATGCATGTAAATGCCCCCATTTTCTATTAGGATTTTGATGACTTCTACCTTTTCTAGCTACAATCTCATGACTTTAACTTTGTTTGTATATATTAGTGAGATATTTGCATAACTAGCACTCAATTCTTATGTATTTATGTGTCTCACACCTAAAATTTCATATTTATTGCTTTGGTGCTTTAAACCTGCTTATGAAAAGATGTATTTCACTTTTAAATAGTGGCAATGGTGCTATTTTTCATGTGATATTAAAGATTTGGTTGCTATACGTGTAAATATGAAAGTTTATGTGCGAGATATGTGAATAAATTAGAATTGTGTGCTATGTATGTAAATGACCCAATTCTTTTAGGATTGTGATGACTTCTACCTTTTCTTGCTTCAATATCATGGCCTTTCTTTGTTTTTATAGATTATAGGGAAATTTACGCACTTATCACACAATTCTCATGTATTTACATATCTCACACCTAAGCTTTCGTATTTTCATAGATAGTGCTTCGGTGTACATATCTCACACCTAAGCTTTCGTATTTTCATAGGTAGTGCTTTGTTAAACCTGTGCATGAAAATGTGTATTTAACTTTTAGAAAACTGTAATAGTACTATTTTTGATGTGATATTAAAGATTTGAGTATTGTATGTAAATGTGAATGTTTAGGTGTGAGATATACGAATACATTAGAATTGTGCGCTATGAATGTAAATGTCCCAATCTTCTATTAGGATTTTGATGACTTGCTATCTTTTCTAGCTACAATCTCATGGCTTTGCTTTGTTTGTGCAGATCAATGCACAGTGCTCATCTATTTACATATCCAACACCTAAATTTTCATATTTTCTTACATAGCAATTTAGTGCTTCAAACATATGGATGAAAATGTGCATTTTATTATTAGAAAGTGGGTAATTGTGCTATTTTTTTATGTGTTATTAAATATTTTAAGACTGTGTGTAAATATGAAAGTTTAGGTGTGAGATATGTAAATACATAAGAATTGTGTGTTGTGAATGTAAATGCCCCTAGATTATTTGCCACATTTGTGTAAATTCTTAGTGTTTTTGTTGTCTCAGACGCTCTCTCTCTCTCTCCCTCTCTCTATCTGCACAATTTGTTCAATTTGTTGGCTTTGTGTTGAGATGAGTGCATTATATGATCATGTCAGGTGATTAAGCTCTCTCTCTCTCTCTTTTATGGCCAAATCAAGGCTTTTTTAGGACCATGCTTTTGCAACATAAAATTTTTTTATGGCATTTACACACATGCCCCACAATTCCTATATATTTACACATCTAACACAAAGTTTGATTTTTCTTGTATTACCAACTTTTGAGAAACGAAATACATGATTTCATGCATGGGCAAAATGCTATAAATGTAAAAAAAAATATCAACATTTAGGTGTTTAATATGTAAATACATAGTAATTGTGTGGTATGTATGTAAATCTTCCAAAAATTGTTTTCTTTCTAGTCGAAATACTTATATGTTGCCTTATTGGTCCAAAATTGACTCCCTTTTTAACGCTTTGCTGGTGCTTCAGAATTAATATGTTCAAGCTTGTTGGTTTGTATTTTTTTATTTTGGGAAATTTACATTCATACCCCACAATTCTTATGGATTTACTTATCGAACACCTAAAGTTTGATATTTATGTTTATACCACTTTGTTGCTAGAGATGAATGCATAAACATGAATTTTACTTTTAAAAAGTTAGTATAAATGGCATTTTATATAAAAGTTGATGTATTATATATGTAAATATGTATGAATTTTGTGGTATGTATGTAAATGCCCCTTTTATTTCTCACTTTTTTGTTCTTTTGATATCATGGTTAACTATGCCTTCTCTTTATTTTGTTCAATTAATCAGAATTTATGTTTCTCATAAATTTACATTCATACCACACAATTTTTGTGTATTTACATATCGAACCCCTAGACATTCATATTTACATGCATATCACTCAAATCTTTATTATAGATGCCACAATCGCTACAATTTTAGAAGCGAAATACACCTTTTTCATGCATATATTTATGACACCAAGGTGTTAGAAGTGTAAATATCAAATTTTAGGTGTTTAGTATGTAAATACATAAGAATTGTGTGGTATTTATGTAAATTTCTCTTTCAATATATATCAACTTTGTTTTCTGCTTGCAGCTTCCTTTAATACACACTTACAAGCGACTCTTCAGAAAGTCTGAAAAAGATCATTTTGAATGAGAGAATCAAACGGTAATTATGGTTGTTGTTAGACCATGGAGGAAATATTACGTGCGGATAAAATATGTGTGGATTGGTGGTATTGTGATGATATTGTGGTGAATGACACCAAATTCGCATCTTACCTACTTCGTTCGTATGTAATATTTCTTCTAAATTATGGGTGAATACTACACAATTCTTATGTTTTTACACATCTAATTACACTTATTACACTTCGGTGTAATAAATCAATGCATGAAAAGTTATAGATAGTGATTTTTTTTTTAAATGATATGAAGAATTTGAATGACATGCATTAACTATGTAAATACATAAGAATTGTGTGTTATGTATGTAAATGACCTTAATTTTCCGCGGCCTTATTTTGATGGTGATGGTGATTTTTTTGACGTGATATTATGGATTTGAATGGTATGCTTGTAAATATGATTCTTTAGGTTTTTCGATATGTAAATACAAAAAAATTGCATGGTGTGCATGTAAATGCCTCACAACCCAATTTATGTTTATTAATCATCATAGCAGACACTTTTTTGGAAGGCTTTAGGAGAGTATAGGATCTCTTCATCGCACGTTTGCTTGCATTAGTGAATATAATAACATCATCTGCATAGGTTAAGTGGCTTATAAGACTAGTAGATCCGTGACTGTATCTGATATAGCTGTGTTGTTGGTGTGCCTGATTAAAAAGTTTGGATAAGTAGTCAAAAGCTATGGATGAATATTGTTTGGGAGAGTGGATCTTCTTGTTTAATCCCTTTGCTGGCTTTGAAGAAATCATGAGTTTGCCCATTAATCATAATGGTATAATCATTAATGTTTAGCCATCTTTCCATCAAGTTACAAAACTACCTAGTGAAACTTCTTGAGTTGTCTCACATAAATTCTAATTTTGCTTGTTCCAAATTGAGTTGTCACTCCTCTTGCTAATTCAGGATCTGTTTGAGGCAGATGCATCTTGTCAGCATTTCAGCTGCAGTTTAGCTGTCACAAGAAGCTGCTGTGGGAAAGCTAGTTAGTTGTTTGTTGCAATTGTGTGTCAGCTGTTTTTGGAAAAACGATCATCCTGACCCTATGTAGTAATATTATTTGTAATAGAAATGTTATAGATATATATTTAATAATTCAAAAGCAAAGTCCACTACATATCATTACAAAAATTTAGATATACACCTCACTTAACAGTGGGTATCAATATTGCTAAAAAAACAAAAAACACTATTATTTGTATATAAAAGGAGCATAAATAGGAGCAAAAGCCCTCATGAACTATGCAGAATTTGAATTTATCTACCCCTCCCCAAACTAATAAAAATTATTGTTATTTTCCATCAGCTTAATTAGGCCATTAGCAAACATCTCATTAGCAAACATCCCAGGATCATATGTGATTATAAAGGGGACTTGCATATTTCTATCTATAAGTATTTGGCCACGAAAATGGACAATGATCCTTAATCATCAGACAATTTCCAATACTTTAAAAGAAAGTTACATACTACCATAATCACCCTATTTTCTTATATTTCTATTAATATTAAATCCATTACTCCATTGTATTTTAGGTCTGATTCGGCCATATTTAAGTAGTGAATGTTGCATTATATTCTACAAATAGAAATAAAGATAACTAAGTTACCATTTAAACAAATAGCCGATAATCGCCTTACAGCTAACAAACGTAACATTAATAGTTTATTTCTCACCAAGACAGATTCAACGTTCATCAAACAATGCAATAGACATAAAAAAAACTGCTACAAGGTTCATGGAAAGAGAAACTAGAAATTGACTAAACATAAACCTTGCCTAGCTAGCAACAATAAATTACAACAACGCCTAACCTTCCCCCTCATTCTCTCCCCATCAAATCAAACAATGGACTTGCGAGGGTTTCAGGCGTCAAAGGCTTCTTCGAACAATAGAGGGACGAGGGTTTTGGGTGTCGAACAGTAGAGGAGGGACTAGGATGGCTTCGTCGAGAGGAGCGCGAAGTTTCGGGCATCGAATAGAGGGGAAAGGACTTAGGTTTAGGTGTCGTCGAATGTGGAGGGCTAACACAGGTAAAGATGCTCGCTCGAACGCAGGCCGAGGGGTTTGACCCTCGGCTCACGTTTCGCCAAAACGGTGTTCCGCTACGATCCTCCTACCGAACCAAACAGCCGCGATTCGATGTCGTTGCCTGCACCGTGCTCCTCCCGCCAAATCAAACAAACCCTTAGCTGTAAAACAATGGCCAATTTGGACACATCAGACTTCTATCCAATGCCCAATTTGCACCAATGTGGACATTTTCTTATGTAAAATATCAAGAATGTATTACACAACCTCCTTTAAAGCATGTGCGAAAATATAACTTTAAATAACCAACACAATGTACACGACATTTTACTATTAAATGTCGTTCACTCTTCTCTCTCTCTCTCTTTCTCTCTCCTCTAACTTACGTTCTATTTTTTGAAGTGTAATTCACAGACAAATTTTGATTTAACAAACTTGTCTCAAATAAATTCTAAATTTGCTTATTTCAAATTGAGCTATCACTCTTCTCTTACTAAAACAAAGACCAAATTTGATACATGAGACTTGTGCCACGTATCCCGTCCTGTTGGTTGACATCCACGGTACAAGACCCCTCCTCAGGTCGGGAATTCGAATTCAAATCCCCTCTGTCACAATTGGCCATAAACAGGCGATACTCGAATTGTTAGACATATTAGGGGTAATTGGAAGCTCCTATAATAGTCTTTGGTCATTCTTTTAACCAAAAAAAAAATCATAAATATAACAAGCTTATCTTTTCTATGATTATATATATAAAATCATAAAATCCATGATTTTATATAATATCTTATGTATATTTTATTTTCAAACACTTCATATGTCTAGGATGGCTTCGTCGAGAGGAGCGCGAAGTTTCGCTATATATTTTATTTTCAAACACTTCATATGTATCATATATACTGCTATCAGTAGGCCTTAGGTCCTTAACACAATTCTTATATACTTTCATATTTAATATCTAAATTTTAATACATTTACATACCACTCACTTCCTAGGTATTTACATCTCCAAACACTTAACTTTATTTTTTATTTTTTACATTTATAAGATCCAAATCTTTCATATCATAAAAAAGAAGACCACTATTTTGACTTTAAAAAACAAAAATATACATTTAAATTGAAATTTAGATGTTAGATATGTAAAAACATAAGAATTGAGCGGTATATATGTAAATTACGAAATGGTGTTTGACAGAATGTTGACCCAAATATTTGACTTGTTCTACACCAAAATAAAATAAAATGTGGACATTTTTATTCAGGGACATTTACATACATATCACACAATTCTTATGTATTTACATAACTAATACCTAAATTTTCATATTTATACTCATAGCACTCAAATCAAAAATACTATTATTAAAAACTGAAATACAACTTTGCGCGCATAATTTTATGACACCAGTGTTATACATATAAATATGAAAGTTTGGGGGATAGATATGCAAATACATAAGATTGGTGGGGCCTGTGCTGAAGCCTAATAAATACAATTAAATAAACTAGTTGCAGTATTTTCTGCAAAGAAAAGAACAGATTGAGTTCCATCTCCTAAAAGGAGATAAATATATATTACATTCTCATAAAAATGAAAAAAAAAAAAAAAACTCTGTAAAATAAAAGCAAGAAATAGATTTGCTGTTTATTAAAAGGAGGAAAATAAAACGCTCTTCTGTTTGATAAGAAGTCTTCTGGCTCAACAAGGGCATCGCATTGTACATTTTCAATAAAACTGGAAGATTTACAGACATACCGCTCAATTCTTATGAATTTACATATCTAACGCCTATATTTCAATTTTTACATATATGTCACCTTACCTATGCATGAAAAAGGTTCATTTTTGATGAGATATGAAAGATTTGAATGGTATGAATGTGAAAAATCAAGATTCTAGTGCTAGATATGTAAAATCATAAGAATTGGGTGATATGTAAGTAAATGTCACAAAAAAAAAAATTTCAATAATGAGTGGAACGTTTTCTTCATAAAAAAGTGAAAAATAATCATTACATTATGAATAAATTGTTGTAATATAGCTCTGTTCATTTATATGTATATTTTTTTATTTTCTTTAGAGATGTAATTCAGTCTGAAGGCTTGCTACCATACCTATCATCTTCTTGAGATTTCTTCATATTTACTTCCAATTTCTTAATTGCTGTTACCAAAGCTCTTACATTAAAAGCTTCTGCAAGCTCATTCTCACTTTGTGTCTGCAAAAAATAAAATTAAAATTAAAAACAATTTATAAGATCCAGAGCTGATTTGAACTTAAAATAATTCAAAACTTATGAGTACGAAAAATTCTAGAGTAAATCCTTAACATCAAAATAATAAAAACAAAAATCACAAGTTGATAGAGCATCTAACAAATCATCTTAAGGATGTGACTATGTTTAGAAACGGATTTAAGCAAGATTTAACTTAAATGTGCCAACAACAACAAGCCTTTATCACACAAAGTACGGTCGGCTGCATGAATCCTTTTTCTCCATTGTGTCATATTGAGTGCATATTTTGATCTAATTCTAATAAATTAAGATCATTTTTATACAATATCCCCATGCCTTTTTAGGTCTACATCTATCTTTCTTAACATAAGTCAAATCTAACATGTCTACTCTCATAATCGGATCATCAGATGGTCGGCTTCTAATGTGACCAAACCATCTAAGACGACTCTCTAATCTTGTCTGCCACTTGAGCTACATAAACCCTTTCACGGATATATTGGTTTCGAGTTATCTCCAAGTGTAAATCTGCTAGATCAAAAAAAAAAAAAAAGATAAATTTTAAATGTTGATTTTAGTAAATCCAATTTCTTCTCAATTCTTCCTAGTTATGTCTTAAATCCCGGATTTGCTGAATTTTGATTTTGTTAAAATTTAGTAAATGCATATTTACGGGATTTACTAAAATGCGGTTTATAAAATTAGGATGCGGAATAATTATAGGAAAGGAGGAGATTTTGAAAAACTTGTGTGGGTAAAACAGAAATTTGACATCAGAATATAAAGTAATGCAATGAAATAATTGTAGTAAATGCAGCCTTGGTGATGAGGATGAAGGGATAGAATGTTAATATATGTGATCATATCTAAATTATCATATGTGCCAATTACTTATAGCAAAAATTTCTAATATTTACTATTATAACATTTTTTTCTTATTAATGATAATATGATATCATACTTCATATATATTCTTTTCTCTTGCCTATATTCATATACATTTGTACTTGTACAATATAATAATTGAGTAAGGATATAGTTCTTTAGAATTCTCTCCCCTCCAACAGTAAACTGATATAACATGAATTATTTATATTCCTCGAGAACCAACTTGCAAACGTATGCAAAAACAACATCATAAAAGAAAGGGAAATTTACATATCTAAACACATAGACTTTCATATTTACATTTTTCATGCTTTGGGGTCATAAACATATGCATAAAAAGTGTGTTTTATTTTTTTTTAAGTAATAGTGATATTTTTTTTTGTGGTGTTAAATATTTGGATGCTGTGTACAGAAATATAAAAATGTAAATGTTAAAGTAATAGTGATATTTTTTAGTTGTTAGAAAAGTAAATACATAAGAATTATTCAGTAGGTATGTAAATGCCACTCAAAGAAAATAAATTTTCCATGTAACATAAAAGGCGGCAGTAAGTTGTAGCATCCTGTAGTTTAGCAAAGATCACTTGAAGTCTAGGTAAGGGAAACCATATCCCTCATTGTTATGGAAGAAGCAGCTATAACTTTGCTCATTTATCCCCATATATCTTGCTCTCCAGACACAAAAAACTCTTGAAGGCTAATGCAATTTTTTTTTACATATAAAAGCATTTAAATGCCATAAAACTAACCTAAAAACCAAGCTATTATCCACAATGGTAAAACAGCACATAAAGTTTTAAACCATGACAAAGCTGCAGAAAACAAAGAGCAGAAATTATAGAGGAAAGATGTAAAAGTATAGGTGCAAATGAACCGAATGAACCAAGCGTTTTGACAAACTACTTATGCCTCTGCTCAATAGGAGCTTATTCATATTCATTTGATTAACTTATAGAGCAAATTTGAACAGTTATAAATACTTAGTTGTTTGATAAACAAATTCAAACAACTCATTGCTGGATTCATTTATGATCGTGAAGAATATCATCTAAAACTCATGAATAAATTTGTAAACAAAAAGCTTGATGAATAATAGCATTTAAAATTAACAAACAAACTAATGAATAAGCCCAATTCGTAGCTCATTATATTAAAATAATTAAAGCATTAATTAGTAATTTATAAAACTAATTAATAATGCTTAATTTAAATCAATAATGATGTAATTTAATTAAAATATTTTATTTTTAAATAAAATTTTCCCTATCTTAATTTAAAACCGCAAAAAAGAATTAAAATTAAGGATATGAATCCCCCTATTTTGACTTTAAAACCCTGTTATCGATTTTCGCATTTTAACCAAACATTCACCTTCCATCCCTAGGATGTCGCAAAATCTAATTGTTTTCTCCCTTGTGGTGCCATGTGATACAGCTAGAAAGGCATTAATAAGCCCAACAACGCTATGCAAACAAGAAGATGAATTCATGGGACTTGCATGTGATTGGAGCTTGCTAGAGAAGGCCACAGACGCTTTAAGATCCTATTGGTCAAGATTTCAATGGGATTGATGTTGAGTAAATAAGAGATTGCTCTTGAAGATATCTTAAAAATTCCTACAATAATGTAACCATGTATCTATGGCTTATTGTTGTTTCTAATTTTATTAATATAGAATATGTAAAACTTTTAATTGGTTAAGTTGAGCTTTGTCTCTTTTTTTTTTCTTTTTTTTTTTTTGTGAAAATATGTTCTCATTACTCGGTGAAAATATATTCTGATTTTATATAATTTAACCAAAACTTTGATAGTTGATTATTTCAATATTAAAAAAAAAAGGGTTTTCTAATTCATGTAAGAAAATCACATGATCATCATACAGAAATGTATTTTTTTCAATTATATATTGACTTAAGAACACTATATTTATGATGTGAATACCTTATTTTAGTATCGTTTACTATCTGCTTATAATTCAAGACGATAATGATTTTTAATTTTTGTAATGAACATATATCATATAGCTCATCAAAATAAGGTATTATTTCTATAAAACGGATTTTTAGTTCTTTACAAGCATGTACAAGAATTCGATGTTGATCATTAGCAGACCAAATAATAATCTTATGGGTGATGATAATCAATGTGATAACTCTTATGGGTGATGATAATAAATTTGATAACTCTTATGCAAAGACATAAAAAAGAAAAGCATTATTTGTGTAAAACAAATTTATTGCACTTAATCTTAATGATGAAACTAAAGCTCTGTTTAGCGCAGCTGCAGCTGCGCTACCCCAGGAAGTTGCTGCCTGGAAGCTGGCCACATGTTTGGGGCAGTTGTGTGAAAACAACTGTTAGACAGCTGCTTCTGTAAAAATGACTATTCTGCCCCTATTTTGTGATGTTGTACGTAACAAAACTGTGATAGCCATGAATTTAATACTTTTAAAGCAAAAACTAAAATTCGTGCTCTGAAATGAAAGATTTGGTTGGTTATAAAAAATTCAAATTCATGCTCCTTTTCAACATAAATCCACTTTTTAAGCCTCCTCTTCCTCCAATTAATTGAGATCATAATGTGGCACACAACAACAACAACAACAACAACAACAACAAGAGGAAAAATGATTTTGCACAGAGAGAATTGGCTGAGGTTACAGTTCGGGAGGGAGAAGCTGAGCGGAAGGCGGGGGAGAGGCGTCGAATGATGATAAGATTTGTTTAGGAAGGACGAATGAGAGAAGGAAGGGGGAAGGAGCAGAGCTTTCTTTGGCGTAACAACCCGAACGGTCGGACATTCGATCAAAGGGGCAATGGGTAAAAACAGAATCGCGGAATGTGGGCCATGGGGTTGATCCCGCTGCCCTCTTTTTGTGGAAAAATCCCCTGCGGTGGTCGCGACGCTTCTCTACCGCTCCCCCAAACTTTTCACTTCGGCGGTGGGGTGCCGCGAAGCTGAAGCCACGCCCCCAAATGGAGCCTAAGGAAATGCAATATATTCCAATCAAAAAATCACAAATGATATATGCAGTGTAACCACACAATAAAAATGACACTTTATTGTGAGATGCGAATGAACAACCACCACATCCAATAAATAAGGTTAACTTTGAAAGTATCTATCATGTTACTAATTAGATATATAATAACGTGACAATAAAGTAGTTAGTTTTCCATAGTACAACTGCATAAATTCTCATTCAAATTTGTAGAATACAAGATGTTTGAGATAAATATTTAAATTATTAGTCCACATCATGAAAATATATCACCAACAAGAGTGATATATTGGTATGTGCCAACTTATGAAATTGGAAAGAAGAGACCGAAATAAAATTTCTTATTGGTATTATATTTCCTGTGTTGACGTACATATATATATATTAAATTTTTTAGTGTTAAATAAAATTCTAGATATAAAAAATATAATTGATGAGGTTAGAAAAAATATCAAATACATGGTTAGCTTCCCAGCATTGTTTAGTCATATTTAGTCAATCAACACAACAACTAACTTGGCTAGGAAGTTGATCATTAATTGTGTTGCTAGAAGAAATGTTACTTATGTAATATTATCTTGTACATTTGAGTTCAAAATTAAGTTCTTTAGATTTCATGATAGAATCATTTTGACACATTGCCTAATGAAGACGAGTAGATAGTTGAAAAGTTCCGTTTTTACTGAGATTTTCAATCAAGCCAAAAAATTATTTTTGCGTAACCCACAAATATCCTCTCATTCTGTTTAATAAAGCTCAAATATTCTTATAATATAATATATAAATTAATTTTAAATTGCACTACATATCACATTCCAGGTATTCTATTTTTAATTAATTTTTAAAACTTTGAGATATTAAGGAAATGCACAAAAAAATGAAAGAAAAGTTAAATAAATATTGGGATAGTTATAATATTCTAATAGCAATTTGTGCTATATTAGATCCTAGAAAAAAAAAGGATGTAAAACTTTGCACATAGTGATATGCTTGAATGCTTATATGAACTTTATAATGAATATTTAAAGAAGCATAAAACTGTTAATATTGATAAGCTTCCTTTAAATGGTGAATCAAATAATAGTTTATGAAGTAATGATTATATTTTTTTCAAAAAAATAGCTAATGTATTGAAAGTAAAAAGTATATGAAACATACATTAGAACATATTTTACTATTCATAGTATCTATGCTTAATATGTATTTAGATGATGGTTTCTTCATACAGAACGAATCCAATTGACAAGTTTATTAGCAATTTTATTAGCTTCATATGTTTTTAGATGATGATGCTTCTCCTTACCCTTACTTTATTAGTAGTTGTCAATTACTAAAATTTAGATGTTCAAGCTCATAAAATAAACCATTTACTTTTAGTTCTCTCTTTATTTGACAAAAAGTATGAATGTTGTGTTATCTCTAAAGAAGATTGGTACTAACCAATCACCACATATATAGCCTTTAAGGATACAACTGTTATCAGCATGGGGGAAAAAAATACAATCCATCATTAATAAAATCCATCAAACTGTTGCCTTCAATAAAGATGACATCATCCAAATACATATCTAGCTTAGATTTAACAATATGAGTAGCATAAAATATTTTAATATATTTTCATATTTCTTCTTTTCATTTATTGGCTACCTTTTGAAAAAGTAGGAGAATAACTTCTTAAATTGTTATTCACCGTTTAGAAGAAGTTTGTCAATATTAGCATCCATTAGAATATTTTAATGGCTAGTAATATCCATTACTTATTTAGTTATTTTCTTCCTTTTTTTATTATATTTTGTTTTTAATTCCTTCCTTTTTTTTATTACATTCTGTTTTTTAATTCTTTTCTTTCTAGTTGATCCGATAATAGGTATATATACCCCTCTTTGTATCAATAAAAAAACATCTTGGTTCTATTTCAACATAATATCAGAGCCATGTTCCTAATCTAGGCTGCCGAGCATCTCCTTGTTGTTGGTTGGTCTGTCTCCTTGTCCAAATAACCTCCGTCTGCCTACTGGTCCATCCAGATCTGCTCCGCTGGCGATTCCTTTGGCTGTATAAGCACGAGATTCCTCTACTCTGCTGGTCTATCTAGATCTGCTCTGCAGTCTTTGACGATTCCTTTGTCTGCTTCCTCTGGAGATTCCTCTAGCAATATAAGCACCAACTTTCTTTCCAGCCACAAGATGATCCTCCATAACGGCCAATCTGGCCTCCTTGCACCGATGGATTCCTCCCAACTATCGGAATTGCTTCCTAAGAGCTCGATCTTCCTCCAAGTTCACCGGACTTCCTCTGTTATGCTCTTCATTGCTTATATTTCAGCCAACTGAGGGTTTAATCAAGCCAAAACCTCTCCTCGAGGACAGAACATCAATATCTATACTAGAATCTTCCAATGGCCCAACAACTCAACATTTTGTTTGCCTCAGTCAAGATCATGGAGGACTCCTCCAGCAATGAATCTCGGAAGAGGTTCTTGAGTTTGCCGATGGTTTAGAATTCTAAACTCCGTTCATCAAAGGATGTGGGAAAACGGTCATCTCACTGGTATGATTCGTGAAACTCCAAAGACTGACCCGACATATGAAGCATGGGAAGTAGAGAATTCTATGGTGGTGACATGGTCGATCATATATGTTCCATCCGCTAGTGCCCTTTGAACGACAGTTCATGATACCTACTCGGGTGTAGGGACTTCCAGCCAACTCTATAAGGTGTCCAAGAAAATCCGTGAAGTAAAACAAAGATCCAGGACCGCGACCCAGTACTGCAATGGCCTAGTTGCATTATGGATGGAATGCGATCTATTTTATGATTACATTGGGGAAACTCTAGCTAACTTATATCTCTTCCATAAAATTATAGAAAATGACCATATGTTCCAATTTCTGGCCTGTCTCAATAAAGATCTTGACGAAATTCGGGGACGTATCCTTGGTTGGGATCCTCTACTACTGCTCGCGCTGATTTCACTGAAATTCATCACAAAGAAAGTCAGTGACTTGTTATGCTTAGTGCTTCTACTACGTAGGTTGAAGCATTCACCTTGGTATCTAATAGTTCTCAACCCAGGGCTGGTCATTCCACGTGTGATTATTGTCACAAGCCCAACCACACTCGTAATATGTGTTGGAAGCTCCACGAAAAACCACCATCCAAACCTTCAGTCAAATCTTCCGCTGACAAGGGTCTCGCTACTGCATCTAAATCCAACACGGTGTAGTTGGCCTCTACTCAGAATAATGCAGAATCCTCTAATTCTCTTAAGAGTCACATGGAGCAACTAATCAAGCTGCTTGGATCCAGTCTGCTCTCTTCGAGTTCGTCAACCTCCCACATTCGTCACGGTACCAATCTTATGGCACTCACTTATTTTGCCCATTTTAGTCAATGAATCATTGATTCACATGTCACAAATCACATGACTGAAAGCTCTCAAGCCTTCTTGACATAATATTTGTGCTCAAGAAAAAAATACTATTAAAATTGCTAAAGTGTCACAAAGTATCATTGCTGGTAAAGGGTATGTTGTTTTAACAACAAGTTTAACTCTGGAATATGTGTTACATGTACCTCTATTGAAACCTAACATGATATATGTCAGTAAGCCGACATATGACATTGATAGCATTGTTCATTTTTCCTCTAATGTATGTGTCTTTCAGAATCGTTGTTCGAGAAAGGTGATTGGAATTGCTAAGCAGGTTGTCGGACTCTACTTCCGAGAGGAAAGATGGAAAACGAGGATACTCCACCAAGTAGTTCCGGTTTATCTCAGTCCATTGAATGTCCTATTATGTTGTTACATTGTCGTTTGGATCATCCTAGTTTTTAGTATTTAAAATAATTGTATCCATTGATGTTTTCTAATAAAAATCCTTCTGATTTCAAATGTAAAACCCGTCAGTTAGCTAAACATCATCGTATCTCTTATCTACCCCATAATTACACACATATTGCTCATTTCTCTCTTATTCATAGTGACTTATAGGGGCCCTCTCGCACTCTTACCTACACCAATAAGAGATGGTTATTTTAATTGATGACCACACTCGAATGACATGGGTTTATTTTAAAAAATAAATATGAAACTATTGTCACTTTCAAAAACTTTCATACATTCGCTTTGACTTAATTCAAAACTTCTATTCAAGTCCTTCAGACCAACAATAATCGTTAATTTTTTAACTCTGTTTTAGAAAAATTCTTGGTAAATAGGGCATCCTCCATGATGGCTCTTGCAACGATACTCCTAAATAAAATGAGATAGCTGAGAGAAAAAAACGACATCTCATTGACGTTACTCGCTCCATTATGCTACACTTTAATGTTTCAAAACGTTTTTGGAATAATGTTATTCTTACCGCCACTCATCTCATCAATAGAGTTCCCTAAAAAATTCACAACTTTCGTACTCCTTTAGTCGTCTTGAGATCGTGTTTTCCTAACAATCAGGTCTTCTCCAGTTTAGAACCCAAAATTTTTTTACGCACCGGTTTTGTTCGGAACACAGCCCCAATTCGGAGAAAACTTGATCACAGGTCCATAAAATATATTTTCCTAGGATAATCTGTCACTCAAAAGGAGTATCAGTGCTTTGACCATACCACACAGAAGATCTATGAGTGTTGATATCTACTTTTTTGAAAATGTTCCCTACTTTCCTAACTAAGCCTCCAGTGAGAAGGAATTAGAGTTCTTGGACATTATTCCTTACCCTACTCCTGCGAAAGTTCCCCCCACGTCACCTACCATCGAGGAACCCTCTGTTCCTTTGGTTTCACCCAACTCTACTACAACCAAGGAGCTCTCTATCCCTTTTGGTTCACCAATCAATCCTCCCACTCTTCGTGTTTACACTCGACACATTCGTTCTGATGCACCTAATTAAGAGCTCCCTAACCCCTTGTTGGAACCTCTCCCCTCCGGACGACATCTGCATCACTGCTTCTTGCCCAAATGAGGAAATCAATTCCTT